TCCCACAGAGTCCGAGGCCAGCTGCCGTGGTCCCACAGAGTCCGAGGCCAGCTGCCGTGGTCCCACAGAATCCGAGGCCAGCTGCCGTGGTCCCACAGAGTCCGAGGCCAGCTGCCCCAGCAGCTCCCCAGATCTCCATGTCTCCGGAGGGGTCGACGCTCTCCAAGTCTCCGGAGGAGTCGGCGCTCTCCAAGTCTCCGGAGGGGTCGGCGCTCTCCAAGTCTCCAGAGGGGTCGGCGCTCTCTACTACCACAGAAGAGTCGACTCCTCGGCCCTCCACGACATCCACGTCGGCTACGGCTCCCCTCCAGGCCTCCACGTCGGCTACGGCTCCCCTCCAGGCCTCCACGTCGGCTGCGGCTCCCCTCCAGGCCTCCACGTCGGCTGTGGCTCCCCTCCAGGCCTCCACGTCGGCTGCGGCTCCCCTCCAGGCCTCCACGTCTGCTGCGGCTCCCCTCCAGGCCTCCACGTCTGCTGCGGCTGACCCACAGCCCTCCACGTCGGCCGAAGCGGCCTCCAGGACCGCCACGTCGGCCGAAGCGGCCTCCAGGACCCCCACGTCGGCCGAAGCGGCCTCCAGGACATCCATGTGGGCTGCAGCTCTGATCCTCCTGCCTGGTGTAGCACTGGTCCTGGTCTTACCTTTGATCTGGTCCCAGCAAGGCTTACACGGCCATCTGACCTGGACTTTGCCACTTTTTGGACAGTGGCCAGGTCGTCCACCAGAGTTTTGGGGCTTCTCTGGAGGTCCTTTCGGACCTCCAACCTGCCTTTTTGCCCACCTCCAGTGCCCCCTCCACCTGCCCGGTCCTTGTTAGTTCTTTCTCTTTGGTGGTCCGTCAGGATGCCGGACCTTAAAGGGGGGGCTATGTCACGCTCAGCGGCCCCTGCTGCCCCCCCATCTGCCTAAGCCTCTGCTCCTCATATCACAGCCCCTGTTTTAAGATCATTCACGTTTTTTCCTGCCTCAGTTTCTGTTTATTTCATCCAGTTTGGTCCTGCACTGCCTATCACCCATTTTCTGCTCCTGTCACTCTCTCTCAGCAATCTGCACTCATCTGCTGCACCCTGTCTCTGCAATCACCACTCACCTGCCACACCTGTTCAGCTCACTACTTAAGCTCCACTCTCACTCTCCTCAGTGCCAGATTATTGAAAGCCTCACAGCCAGTAAATTATCCAGCATTCGCTTGTTCCTAGTTTTTTCGTTTTTGACCACAGCTTCCCTCTTTACTCCTCGCTTTGACTTTGCCCCTGTCTGAATACCACGCTCTCGGCCTACATGGTACAACTTCGCTCTCCTCTTCGACCACGACTACGGATCATCCTTTTGCCTGTTCACACAGCTCCTGGCTCTTGACTCCTGCTACGTCCCTGGATTCTGTTTCCTGCCCAGCCCTCCAACGTTCTCTGTCTCAGCTCTGCTCCTGCCACAGAAGGTTAGTGACGTGCACACCACCTCTCAGCTCCCAGAACCTTTTTGCAGTCACTAACCTGTCTGTCTTCATAGATTGGACCAGAACTGAGGCTCAGATCCTTCAGACGAACACCTTTAATAAAATAAAACCTTTTATTTTAATATTGTCCTGAGTCAGGTGTTGTGCCGATCCATTCAGACTCGTTACAGAATAATCTGGCCAAATTATGGCTCCAGCACAGACTCGGAGGTGGCGTTCTGGTAAATTGGAGGTTCAATTTACAGGCACCCGCCTGGCAATAAAGCCGGGCGGTTTCCCTCAGGATCAGCCTGTCCTGTTGGGTGAGGCGGAGAAGAGAGAAGCCCAGCATTGGGCTCTCCGCCTCATGAACAGGCCCAAGTTCCCGTTCCCCTTTTGTGATCAGGAGGACGAGTCGGACGAAGACGAGGATTTGTGGTTTCCTCCCTGCCAGGTCCCTCGCCCTCAGAAGAGCCGTAGGCGCACAATGTACCTGTCCTCCTGATGTCCTACCCCTCCGCCTTCAGAGCCCTTGCCCCAAAACGTTTCCAGCTGTCCCACAGAGTCCGAGACCAGCTGCCGTGATCCCACAGAGTCCGAGGCCAGCTGCCGTGGTCCCACAGAGTCCGAGGCCAGCTGCCGTGGTCCCACAGA